GTAGTTCCTAGTGGCTAAACTCCTCCTCGCCTTGCACGCACCAGGACCCCATATGGGCACTGGTTCATGTCCCAGCTGCTCTACCTCTCACCCAGTTCCCTGCTTGTGGCCTGGGAAAGCAGCCAGGGTGGATGAAAGCCTTGGGACCCTGCACTCACGTGGGAGACCTGAAAAGAAGCTCCAGGCTCCTGACTTTAGATCAGCTTAGCTCTGGCCATTGTGGCACTTGGGAAATGGACCAGCAGACTGAAGCTTTCTGTCTCTCCTTCTCTCTGTAAATCCAACTTTTCAATAAAAATAATAAATAAATAAATCTTTTTTAAAAAGGAGTTTAAAAAGCATAGTGATGGTATAACCCTGAGTTGTATGTAAGTGTACTCTATGACGGTCATAAAATGAAGAAACCATCAAAACGTGTGTCCTTGTGCTTAAGCAATGCATGACTATAACATAAATTAATGGGACACAGGCAATGTTTGAGGCTGTAGGAGCTCAACATCTTCTGGTACTGAAGATGCAGAAAAGTAAATCACATGTAATCTTATACACAAAATTCGAAAAGACAAAGAGTAGACTGCTTCTAAAAAATGAAGAGCAATTTAATGCTTCAAACAGGTAAAACTCTAATACACTAAGTTTGCAAAAGCAGCTAGTAAAGTTAAAAAGGATAACGAGTAACAGAGTTCTAGGTTTCATAGAACAAAGCAATGCTTGGTAATGAAACCCTATGTGTGCTAGTGGAAATTTCAGTATATGAGAAAATAAGCAATAACCAGGAACAGTCTATATATTAAAAAGAGTAGCCCTATTTTCATACAAAGACACCTTACATTTTGCATAGTATCACTGAATCTAAGACCAGCTCAAATGTAATCTTAGCTTACATACTATGAAGAAAAATAATCACTTTGGACTAAGCTAATTACACTTATAATTAGCACTTTAAATGTGAAAATCAGTGAAATAAATTTATCATTTCACTTCTTCATACTTTTTTTCTCTTAAACAAACCAAGTGAAACTCGTTAAGATATTCTAAGTGCAGATGGCAGTTCCCCTAAGTCACTTTAATTCTGGTATCTGAAGGTATGCAAAAGATTAAGAATTATGATAGCATGCTACTTATAATAATCCTGAAATCTTTCCAAGAAATAAAATGCATATAAAGAGGAATATTTTTAAAAAATACTGTTTGTAAGATGTAATGAAACTAAGAAGGACATTAAAAAATTAAAGAAACAGAAGGGATGGAGATATGAGAAAACACCAAAGCCAAGGCAGCATGTAAAGGGTTTCTGTAAGACTATTATTAAGTACAGTTCTTTAAGCCAGCAATAAATTACAGGAAATCAAAAAGAGCAGAGCCACAAGAAGATTAAACACCTACGTTTGAACATACAGCTCTAGGATAACAGTTCTAGACATAAAACCTATACATGGTATTTTGAGCTAAATATGTGTGCATGCACACAGATCATATTTATCATTCAATCAATGGCAGAGTGACATATTTAGGAGGGCAAATTCATCAGTACTGGATATATACATAGACAAAATTCATTAAAATTATACAAAATCGACATTGTATCAGTAATAATAATCTAGAGATTATTTAAAATATGTGAGACTATGTTCAGCTTTTATGCAAATACTACACCATTTTACATGAGGAAATTGGGCATCCATGGATTTGACATTCACAGAGTCCTGGAAACAGCAGGAAAACTGACAAACCTTTGATTAAAGTAAGAAAAAAAGAGAAGGCAAAAATAGCAAAAATGAAATTGAGGGCCTACCGTTAGAAACATACAACTCGTAGGTGCAATACAACTACAGGCAAATGTAACAGAGACTTAAACAGCAATAAGTGATGATAAATAAGATATTACAATATCGACTTACAAATGTATTACATTCAGAAAATTGGACAAGTCCCTTTTACCAAATAATGAACAGTTTCTGTAGTTTTATATTTTCATTAAAGAAACAAAATTAACTATAAAAACTTAGGATAGACTACCAGGAAAAAAATAAAAATATTAGCAAATTATCCAATTTACAAGGCTATTAAGGTTGTTAGATAAGAAGTTTAACACAGCTACAACATCATATACTAGCAAAGAAAAATACAATGAACTACATGTATAATATAAAAAAAGGTGTAAGGTATGTAAAATATACTACAAAACATGTAAGAAATAAATGGAGAAACTAAACCTTCACGGAGAGTATATTCTGTAAGGTGAAAGTTTTTAAAATTTAATACTCAATTATTTGCTTGAAAACTGGAAAGGTTTGGTCTGATGGCGCAAAGGACTGAGGAGCACCCTGCAATGTTTATTATACCTCAAGAAAGCTAGAAGCGAAGAAAAAAAAAAAATCAACAGCTGTGTGGAAACAAGGCATTTCGAAAGTTTACCTGGCAAGCAACTAAGGACAATCGGGACAGAAACAATGGGGACAGAGTGTCCTGACATACTGCTTGTAACTTAATGTGGTCAAGGTTAACCGATATATAAAAACAGTCTAAAACTTCTCTAAATGAGAGTATGGTGTTAATTCAGAGTTGAATGAGACCAGCAAATCCATAGTTAAAATTGTAAATGAATATTTAGCACATAATTAAGGCAGCATCTCAAAACAATGAAAGGAAAAGATTAATTTTTTAAAAAATACAGTGTTGGAATATTAGCTTTGATGGGGCTTTTTCACACTGAGTCTAGGATAAAACTAGAATAAATATGAAATCAAATGTAAACAAAGAAAGAGAAAGAAAAATCTGTTTGTGCTCTAAAGAACTTATGAGTGAATTTCTCTAATACCTGAAGTGAGAGAAAAGTCATCCATCTCAAAACGAAGGTACAGTAAGAGATGGCTGATGAATCTTGATACAAAGAATGAAAAATCTCTACAGGGCAATAACTATATACACAAGTAAAACAACAAATCACTAAGTGGCAATAATACTTCTAACTTCCCAGATAAAAGATAAGTATATATCTTATACATAAATGTGAAGTCAGCTAGGTAGATATTAATCTGTGTAATTAACATGGGAAGAATAAATGTATGTCTGTCTCCCACAGCCCAAGACTGTCCTTGCCTGTCTGTTAACAAGAGGAATTCACTGAACTGAGAGCAATACAGCTGCCCTAACAAGGCCTAATCACTGCCCTAAAGAAGTCACTTGTTTCTCCAGTAGATAAGAACCCAGAAAGTCAGTATTGTCCAGAGGGGAATTCCACATCTAAAACTCCCCCAGTTACACCTTCCGGGGAGAGTGAGGGAGAGACAGGGCAGAGGGAGGTAACCCATAATCATGACCAAAAAATCCCCAGTCTAAAGGTAGACTGGGCCTTCAGTCCTTTACTCAGACACCTGTCTAGTCCTTTTCAAATAGAAACTATGTTAAAATCACCTTCACCAGCTGCTTACAGCAAAGACATTCTTCCTTGTTCATAAAACAAATTCAAGGGGCTCAAATCAGCAGTCACATAACATATGACTACATAAAATAGCATACACACACACACATACACACACACAAGGAAAATAAATAAATAAACCACCACAATTGCTCAACAGAAAAATTAGGAAGAGACAAAAACAAATACCTCAAAGAAATCATTTCAGACGAAAATGTACTCTAAAAATCTTAATTTAAAAAAAGCTCATTTTATCACCTCCTGTAGGTTGCGTTGCACCTAGGCCACAGTTCCAGCTGGTGAGGGCAAGAGCATGAGCTGGAGCAGGCTAGACCAGGCAGGCTGTAGCACCCTTCAGCATGTTTGAGTAAGGTCTAGGTGTGGGCTGGGCAGGGTCAGACCACAGTGCATGAGTGAGAGCTAGGACAAGGTGCAGGCCAGGCCCAGTTGAACCACAACAGCTGTCAGTTTGCATGAGGGCTGGGGTCAGGAGTGACCAGGTCAGAGGAGGCTGTTGCACTCCCTGGAGAGAGCTGAAGGACTGGAGGCAGGCCAGGCTAATCCAGGCACCTGCTGGAGAACACCAAGACTGGCTGCAAGCCATCTCAAACTGGCTATACCTGCTGACACACGCAAGACCAAATGCTGAGAGCAGAGCCTGGTGGGGAAACTTGGAGACTACCTTGCTGGGCTGCTTCTTCCACTGGTGAGTGGGAAGGTCAAAGCTGGACCAGGCTGCCACACTCGACAGCATACCGAAGAGAGAGAATGAGTATAGACCAGCCAGGTTAGACTTACAGCACCAGCTGGCAAATGACAGGATTGGGTACAAGTCATGTCAGGATGGCAATACACGCTGGCAAGCACAAGATTCAGGGTTGGGGGCATGACTAGCAGGGGAAATGTGAACACTCCTCTGATAGGTTGTACCTACCACTGGTAAGCACAACATTTTGGCTAGGGGCAGGCCAGTCTAGACAAGGCAGAGGCAGCTGTCTAACATGCATGAGGTCCAGGTCTGGGGGCTGATTGTGCTGAGTTAATCCAAAGGACCCATGGGTGTGCAGAAGACCTGGATGGAATAGAGCCTGCTTCAGACTAACCCACAGCAGAGGCTGGTATGTGCAAAAACCCAATGGTTCAGTTCTCTGAGCTCTAATTATACACCAAGGAAGATTTCAATCAAACTTTCCCAACAGACCTTCATAAATCAGCCAGTGAGGCCCATGTTCAGCCTTTTCCAGTGCCATGATTAGTTTAAAACAAGAAAACCAAGGACTCGTTTTGTTGCATGGCTGGTTTTGCATGATTTCAACTTAGCACACTGGGGATTGTTTCTGTCCAATAAAACGTCAGAAGAATCTAATTCTTTCAATAAAAAGTGATTCATAAAAACAACCAAATTTACTGATTTTCTCCTTTTGAATCACTTTGCATAGAAATAATAGTTTTAAGTAATTAACACACATATGCCAAAATGGCAGTTTGATTCACCTTGAGTAAAACTGGAAATAATGTAAACCGCCCCCATCCCGTCCCGAAAAAACTAGAAACAGGCACGTAAACATGCACTAACCTTCCAGTAGTCAGACTGTAAACTGTAGTACCTCTGGTAGGCAGATAATGCTGAAAGAGAGAAAACAATGAGTCAGTCAGAAAAAAGTCTCATTTCAAATATCAATAACACAAATTTTAAGAATCATCACAATGGGCCCGGCACAATGGCCTAGTGGCTAAAATCCTCACCTTACATGCCCTGGGATCCCATATGGGCACCGGCTGATGCTCCGGCTATTCCACCTCCCTTTAAACTCCCTGCTTCTATAGCCTGCAAAAGCAGTCAAGGACCTTGGGACCCTGCACGCACATGGGAGACACAAAAGAAGCTCGTGGCTCCTGGCTTCAGATTAGCTCAGCTTCAGCCACTGTGGCCACTTGAGAAGTGAACCAGAGGACGGAAGATCTTTCTCTATCTCCTCTCTGTAAATCTAACTTCACAATACAAACAAGTAATTCATGGGCCCAGCGTGGTGGCGCCAGTGGTTAAAGGTCCTCGCCTTGCACGCCCGGGATCCCATATGGGCGCCGGTTCTAATCCCGGCAGCCCCGCTTCCCTTTCAGCTCCCTGCCTGTGGCCTGGGAAAGCAGTCGAGGACAGCCCAAAGCTTTGGGACCCTGCACCCGCGTGGGAGACCCGGAAGAGGCTCCTGGCTTCGGATCGGCATAGTATCGACCCGTTGCGCTCACTTGGGGAGTGAATCATCGGACGGAAGATCTTCCTCTCTGTCTCTCCTCTCTGTATATCCGCCTTTCCAATAAAAACATAATAAAAATAAATCTTTAAAAAAAAAAAAGAAGATGCTCTCTCAAATAAATATTAAAAAAAAAAAAACAAGTAATTCTTAAAAAAGAACCATTTTAACATGGTTTTAAATTTGGCTTTCCAACTCAAGAGGAATTCAAGGACAATTAAACCTGAATAGAGTCTGGACTAACCCCTTGGATCAATTTGATCCTCCTCAGAGACTAAAACTGATAGAGGATTATAATTTGCCGAAGCTACTCTAGAATGTGACACACAGAGCGTTTGTTCTTGTACTGACCTCACTTCCAAGGATGACCAAGAACTCACTCCCTCAAGAACGAACAAACTCTTTCAGTTGTGATGCTCCTATCAAACTACAGACCGAAAAAACTCCGTAATTCCCTTACCCACCTCAATTCCAAAACTGGGTGACCCAGAATTCTAAGTTTGTATCAAAGCATAAATCTTTCTGCAAAACGTTTAATTCCAAGGAACCTTAAAAGTCCAGTAACACATGAGTAAAAAAGGATAAAAGAAATTGTGCACAATGGAATTGATAGAGCACGCTTATTCAAAAAAACTAATGAGAAAGCTGAATTCTATACCAAATAAATCAATTTTCTGAGGGTATAAGAACTGGGTGGGGGGCCCAGCATAATAGCCTGATGGCTTAAGTCCTTGCCTTGAAACCACTGGGATCCCACATTGGCACCAGTTCTAATTCTGGCAGTCCAACTTCCCTTCCAAGTCCAACTTCCCATCCAACTCCCTGCTTGTGGCCTGGGAAAGCAGTAGAGGACAGCCCAAAGCTTTTGGACCCTGCACCCGTGTGGGAGACCCGGAAGAAGTTCCTGGATGCTGGCTTCGGATCGGCACAGCACCAGCCACTGCGCTCACTTGAGGAGTGAATCATCAGATGGAAGATCTTCCTCTCTGTCTCTCCTCCTCTCTGTATATCTGACTTTGTAATAAAAATAAATAAATCTTAAAAAAAAAAAGGGGAGATGATATTTCCCTATAAGCACAGCCTGGCCACAATACTCATTAAGGTTTTTTTTATTATTATTAATAACATTGCACTATGTGACACAGTTTTATAGGTACTGGGATTCCCCCGACCCCTACTCATTAAGTTAGAAGAGAAATGCCCCAAAACTAGTTCTCTATATTACAATAGTATGCACAAATACAGCTTTTTGTGTGAACACGAGCAAAGATAGCATATTTAATCTTTTATCATATCATCTTATATATTACCTTGTATGTCTTTTTACCAGAATATGAATGTCCAAGCGAAATGTAAAATTATGATACAGAAAAAGAAAGCATTGCCTGATTCCAGGCAGAAGAGGAAAAATTAACTGATTTCATCACTCTCCTAGTGGCTTCAGCAGTCCAAGATAACCCAGCAGCCTTCTTTCCCATCACATGGAAACACTGGCAGAGGACAGAGCTCAAGCTGGCTTTGCCAGGATTACCACCAGGCACCCACAGGGCTCTACACCAAGTGGAGAGCAAAGAATGGTCTCCCCGTCTCAAACCCCCAAGGGAATCCAACACAGCCAACAATTTACTCAAACGCACTCAGGGGAGTTTGTGCTTAAACAAGCACCGGCTGGTGGAGGCAAGCAGGCACAGCCCTACAAAGTTTTCTAAGCCTATTCTCCTTTCTCGACCTTGTATTTATCATTGAGAATGAAAAGTACTTTTAACTTGATCATTCGTTCTCATAATTGGCCTGAAAGCTAGACTAAATGCATTACTGACTCCAAAGGAATGGAGAATAGTTTTATGAGGCAAGTTGAGCAGCTTTGCCAGCTGAATCTGAACATTTAGGCCCTTAACTGAATTTTAGGCTATTCCGGGGACTGCACTCAAGTAAGATCCAAATATTCTAGAAGATAACCAGAGGGCCCAGAGCAGTAGCCTAGTGGCTGAAGTCCTCGCGTTGCACACACTGAGATAGATCCCTAAAGGGTGCTGGTTCTAATCCCAGCGACCCCACTTCCCATCCAGCTCCCTGCTTGTGGCGTGGGAAAGCAGTAGAGAATGGCCCAAAGCCTTGGGACCCTGCACCCACGTGGGAGACCCGGAAGAAGTTCCTGGCTCCTGGCTTTGGATCGGCACAGCATCGGCCGTTGCGCTCACTTGGGGAGTGAACCATCGGACAGAAGATCTTCCTCTCTGTCTCTCCTCCTCTCTGTACATCTGCCTTCCCAATAAAATAAATAAATCTTTAAAAAAAAAAAAAGAATGCTTCTTTGTCTGGAATTGGCGATTCTCTTACCTTGTCTAATGGCAGAAGGAAGAAGCATCCTGAGGAAACAAATGCCCCTACGAACTGTGCTGGTGATGTGCGAGTCTGAGTGTATCCAGGGATTACTACCAGAGACTGCCTCTAGTGTAGACTTGTAGATACAGAGAACTTAATGGTTGCTACTTTAAAAGGATTTTTCAATGTGGAAAGAGCCCCAAAGCATCAAAGAGCATTTAAAAAATAATAACAATTTACACCTAGGAAACAGAGGCCACTGGTTTGAAAATATTACAATATTATGAAACATATATGTATACGGCACTACATTCATGCTTTTTCCTCTCCATCCTATTATAAATTAATCAACCTCTATTGCTTATGTTTCAATGACCAGTTCATCCATATAAAAGTGATGGATCTGCTGGTGGCAGAGAGGGCTTACATCGTCTCAAGCATTTAAATTCTTAGCTTATTCTTCTCTTCTCACGTCAGCTATTTTTTCAACAGACTGGTTTCTATATTGCATACCCCACCCCCCACCACACTTCCTGAAAATTAAAAAAAAAAAAACCCTCAAAGACATCCTAGATTCCTCATTACCTTCACAGCCAAATAGAAACAGAATATACAGCTAAATCCATAAACAAGGAAAATTTTCAAAAACACACAATGTATAATGATCACAAAGCCAGATTTTACCTATACATGTAAGTCTACTTTTCACAACTAAGTCTGTTTCTGTGTTCTCAAGCTGATGTGCTCTTATAGCACAACAAAGTGCAACAATGAAAAAACAGATTATAAAGATTTCTATGTATTCTTAACATAATAGCTGCCTTTACATAAATTGTCAGTTTTAATGTTAAATCATCTAACTGAAGCCATTCTATTAAATTAATCCTAGTTTCACACAGCCATCCAGAAACAGCTGAGCTACCATGTACCACCACCCTCACTTTTCTGAATGAGAAGGCCGCAGCTCAGGCACCCATAACCCAATAAAGGTAACGCAGTCCTGAATAATAGAACCAAACTGAGAAATGAGTTAAACTCCAAAGCTCACAGAGATGTCTGTCTCAGACTAAAAACGTGCCTGAAACATTCACTTCACAAAACACAAAAGCTGGAATAATAAAACACCAGCACAATATACCAAGCATCCTTCAACACAGCCCTGAAATAATCTGCCATAGGTTCTGCCAACTAAATACACATGTCAAAAACAAACACCTTCGGGGCCTAGAGCGGTGGCCTAGTGGCTGAAGTCCTCGCCTTGAATGTACCAGGATCCCATATCTGACTTTGCAATAAAAATAAATAAATCTTTAAAAACAAACAAAACAACAAATGCTGCCTTCTTTCCCTCTCTTTGTCTCCTGGGAGACATGGCCTGAGCAGTATTCAGGTAGGTACCTAAGATGCCCCCACATGGGCGGGAGCACTCAACCCCAACTGCCTGAGGTCAGGGAGTACCTAGGACCCAGGGATATCCTGAGCGGCCAGAGAGGGTAGGGGTCACCTGGGGTCCCCTTTCTCCAAGCTGTGGCTTGTCCGGCTATCCCAGAGCATATGGGGAGCCAGCAGCAGGCAGCCTGTGCCTCCATTTCCCTTGGCTTTGGACACCTCGCCACGTACTATCTCAGGGACCCGACACAGTGGGTTAATTTCTGACCTTCGCACATGTTGCATATTAGACTACCTACCCTAGTACAAACCAAAGGGACTTCTCTAGGTGCACAAGAAAGGCAAGTCGGCCTACTCCAGTGAACCAAAGACCGCAAACACCTCTCCAAAAGGCAAATCAATTCAGCAACGTCTCAGAGTACCGAGGATTATATGTGGCACAGACACTGGCACAGACAATTTTCCAGCTGAAGAAATGAATCCATGAACCTGGCATGATAGTCTAGTGCCTAAATCTTTGCCTGGTCAAGAGCCAGGATCCCATATGAGCACCAGTTCATGCTCTGGCTGCTCCACTTCCCATCCAGCTCCTTGCCTGTGGCCTGGGAAAGCAGTACAGGATGGCCCAAAGCCTTGGGACCCTGCACCCGCATGGGAGACCCTGAAGAAGCTCCTGGTTCCTGGCTTCAGCTCAGCTCAGCTCCAGCTGTTGCAGCCAACTGGGGAGTGAATCAGCAGAAGAAAAATTTTTCTCTCTGTATCTCCTTCTCTCTGTAGACCTACCTTTCCAATAAAAATAAATAAATCTATAAAGAGAGATAGAGACAGAGAGATGGACCCATTAGATGATATAGGAAGAGATTTCCAAACTCAGGAAAGGCACGGCCCACGTCCCTAACCAGCAGGACGTAGATAGAGAAAATCAGACGAATCTGCATCCTCAGCAACCCTTACGATTAAGAATCTAAAATCTCTGAGAATGAAATTGGACAGGCTGATAATTAGCGTAGTGTCATGAGTTGGAAGTCATAAACCACGCATATACAGCCCTCCCTCATGTAATGCTTTTCGCCTACCCGTCAAATGACTTCTTTCTGGGGACGTACTTGAGACTCAATTGGAACCTGGGAAGGTATCAAGTAAAACACTTCCCATTCCAAGCTCTTAAGATGCCCGGCAATGGGGAGGGTTAATTTCTTACTTCCAATGGACACAAAGATGGAAGGTTTCAACCTTCTGTGGATTTAAATCAGAACATGTAGGCATTACAAACAAGTCAAACCAGTTCTGTAGATCCAGATCCCACCCCAGCAGTCTACATAAAAGAGTAGGCCAACATGCTGCAATGCCTCAGCTCTGCAGGATGTGTACAGGCTCCCTGTTCACGGTCTGGGGGAAGCAGAGGACGGTCCAGGTGCATGGACCCTAACACTCACACAGGAACCCAGGACGGAGCTCCTGACTACTGGTTTGGTGTGGTCCACCCTAGACCATTGTGGCCATCTTCAGGGTAGGCCAAAAGACAGACAACCTCTAACTTTGATTTTTAAATCAACAAAAATTTTAAAAAGGAAAGAAAACAAGTAAAACAATCCATCTACTCCACATCAAGATGCTTACATATTCTCAAAACCGAAGGTGTTCGTGCTTACAGAGCTCATCCTTGTCTGCTACAGATTTTTCCTTTTGGGGGAGCTGGTATTTGCAAGATGCTTTTGCCTTCCTATCTGAGAGGATGATCATGCCATCTTCTCAGTATTACTTATAACATGGCTACAAGTGAGATTTTCATTCAGGTATTTTTTACTTAAAATAGAAAAATTTTTATAGCCAGGATAAAGAGAAATGCTGATTGGATTACATTTCTGAAATATTCATCAGTGCACAAATACTGACATTCAACTCACTCACTTTCTACTGTTACATGGTAAGGCCTTTAATGGACAAGGATTCCACAAAGCAGAGAGGAAAAAAAAAACCCACATTGTACGTGTAGGTGGTTACTGGCTTTACTGAATGTTCTACTTGCTGATGTGTTACATCAAGTTACACTATTCTTCCACTACTCTCCTTCTCCTATCACTTTGGATGTTGAAAAGTAAAAATGGCAATACTCTTAGCAGAGCATAAATAAGTATAATTACATTGAATACACATGTATAAATCAAATACCAATTAACAAGAGAAAACATTACCTTTTGGATAATCTTCCAATAAGAGGTTGAAGTGACCTAATTGACAAAATAAATCAGATTCCACTTTTCCTTCAGCTTTTAAGATTAGAGATTCATAGCAGCGAACAGCCTAGAAATAAAAAACACACAAATATTTAAGTACAAGATAAAACTCTAATATTCACTTCCTAACTGACAAAACCTATATCCTCTGATCACCCAAGAAATCAAGATATTTCATTTATATCACAAATATAGTATTGCATTTAGAATTCCTTAACCAATATTCACTAACAAAAGCAACGATCATCTTCTTGAACCAATCATTTGTTAACAAAGCCACTAATTACGGCATAGGTGCTTTCCCCATCTACAAAATGTAAACATAACTTGAAAAACCAAACAGAAGCACTTTAATAACTTTGGTCATAAACTGCATATACAAATTTCTGTGGTCTGTTGATAAAAAAATAAACAAAACTCTCAAATACAAATAATATCCATCCTTCACATTGACAGAAAGGATTTAGAAGTATATGAGAATTTGAAGATTCTATAGAAAAATAGCATAGTACAGCTCATTTGTAACAAATTCCACTTCTGGTTTTTGACAAAACCTCTACCATTTTTTAACTACCGTAAACTACCTTTCAAGTGACTTCCCATACACTTCAAACACACCAACTCTTAACTCTATTCCTAATCTTATCCCTAATCCAATAACTACATATGTATGCAGTCATTCCCACAGTTCCTTTCTGGAGGGGGAAAAAAATCAACTTACTGCTTTAAGAATTGTTATTTTGTTTTTTTTGTTTGTTTTTTAAGTCAGGAGACTGCAGGAGAAAACAGTGGAAAGGACCTTGTCCTAGTGTACTTAAAACTTGCACTTGCCATTTGCTACAAATCCCTGGGAATGTATCCTAGGGACACACAGAAAAGCTAACCAAAGAATTAAAATTGTTAATTTCTATAAGTGTTCACTAAACTGCTGGTTCATCACAAGTACTTAGCTGATTCTTACGGCAAAGTTCTCTTTTCAAGTTTCCAATGACTGTCAAAATTTTCTCTCCCTCTCTGTAAAATTTGCATTTCAAATAAAAGTCTTTTTAAAAAAATTGGAGATCTCAACTAAAGTTAAAATAATCATTTTTAAAAGCTGTTGGTAAAGAAGAGATGTGGAATAAAGGACACTGTCGCATTTACATACCCACAGTAAATATAGAAACATCAACGAGTTTGGAGAACTGATCCGAATCACAGCAAATCTGGGCTGGGTCTACTGTCCTGAAAGCCTAAGGTCTGTAAAAGGATTGTTTGCAGTTCTTACTCAACCCTTAAATGTCGCAATCACTAAAACTAATCATTCTGCTTCCCTATAATTAGGAATCTGAATGCTACACCAAAGTCTCAAAAAATTACTGTAATTTGGAAGCATAAACTTTCAAGATTCTTTTTACTTAAGTCATATATAATTCTTATCTGGCAGATGGTTAGAGTACAAAAATACAGATTATTATAGTACTTCATAATACCAGAGAAATCCATAAAATTATTGGGCTACAGTATAACAATTCTTAAGTTTACATTAAAACGTCTTTAAATGCTAATAATGGTATTTAAATAAAGCATTCATTAGTTAGTCACAGTCTAAAAATCCTTCTAGGCTTAGAAATAACCCCTACTCCTTTGTGGTAACTACTGATAGTTGATTAACACTAAATTTATAAGCAAATGTTTTCATAGTGAAAAGTTTCAAAATTTAAATACAAAAGCACTACCTTTTGGGGGCTGATGTTGTGCCACAGGCAGTAAAGCAGCCCTCTGTGGCACTAGCATCACATATGGGTGCCGGTTCAAGCCCAGACTGCTCCACTTCCAATTGCTTTAGCTTGCCGATAACACGCCTGGGAAAGTAGCCTAACATGGCCTTTTTCGTTGAGACTCCACACCCATGAGGAAAATCTGGAAGAAGCTTTTAAGTTCCTGGTCCAATCCTGGTTATTGCAGCCATTTAGGGAGTAAACAAGTGGATGGAAGAGCAATCTCTCTGTAACTCTTACAAATAAATAAACTAAGAGGACAGGGTGTGGGGGGACAGTATCACATTTTTTAAATTATATATAAGGACCGAGGATGGTGGTATAGCAGACCTGTAGTACCAACATCCCCTATGGGTACCAGGTCAAGTTTCCTGCTTTCATTCCAGTTTCCTGCTTATGGCCAATGAAAGCAGTGGAGGGTGGCTCAAAGCATCCAAGTGGGAGACCCAAATAAAGCTCCTGGCTCAGATCAGATCAGCTCCAGCCTTTGCAGACACCTGGGTAGTGAGTCAGCAAATGGAATCTCACTCTCGGGGGGGTGGGGCGGTGGTAAGTAAATAACTAGTTTTAAAAAAACATACAAAATAAATGAAATCTATTTTCTTTATATAAAGTTGTATTTTTAAAAATCCAACATTTTATATTGATGCCATCTCACTACCATTATCAACTGTCTAGGTCTCATTTTTCATAAAAGGAACATTTTAAAGTCCATATTATGTGCAACTGTGGTCATCATAAAAACCAGAAGGAGAAATTTTAACTTCTCGTCTACACATACACTGAGGCTTGATTAACAGCCAAACAACAAATTCTCAATAACTTTCTTACAAAGCTACCATATACCTGCAAAACTAATGTTAATGTTCAATGAAGAAGGTGACAGTTAAATATCTAACAATAGGCAAAAAAGCAGAAGTTTCCAACTGCTTGGTGTTACCTATTCAGTGAAAATTCCTTAATTCACTTAAAGTGTTTGAGATAATTCTGCTACTGAAAGCAAAATACTATCATTTTAAAGAGTACTTAAAGAAAACCAAGTAACAATACTCCTAGCTCACATAAAACAATCTAGAATGAAACTTAAGTATTGTCACGATGTATTTTTAAGCCAAAAGGCTAATGATAACATACAAAATACACATGTAACTTGGCTTTTTAAAATAAAATGTAGGTAAACTGGAAAGGAGAAATATTTCCAATCAGGGTTACCTTCAGAGGTAGGTGTTGTAGGGCTGCATACCAAACAGCTGCTAAGATGCCCACCCCTACATGGGCAAGCCTGGGACGCAGCCCACTCCCCACTTCCAACAATGCACAGCCTGGAGACAGCAGGTGAGGGCACGACCAGAGCAACCTGGAGGCAGTGCCTGGCTCCCGGCTCCTGGCTCCTGGCTCCCGGCTCCTGGCTCCTGGCTCCAGGGGCCCAGCCACCTGGCTGCCACAGGCATTTACTTGCAGAGTGAATCACCACATGTAAGATTTCTCATTCTCTTTCTCTCATTCATATTCTTGTTTTATTCTTTATTTTAGATATGTAGAAACACAATTATCCATACACCACGTTTATATGCAACATCACAGAAAAAGCACTGGAATAAAGATGTTACAATACAGCGTTTTTAATTGGCTCATAGAGAAACTTTTATTGTATTCATTTTGCTTCTCTATATTTTCTAATTGTTTTTACAATATATATCATTTCTCCTCATATAAAATCAATTAAGACTTATTATTCTTTCCTTGGGAAAGGGAGGCTATCCAACCACAGATACATTTTGAACAGAGACCATGTGTAGCTAAGTTGCTGTCATTCAATAGCATTCTTTTATAAATAACAAAAAAAATTCTATAAGCTATACTGTCCACTAAGGAAGCCACTAGACATGTGCGGCAACTAAATTCTTAAGAAAGTTAGGAACAAGTAAACAAATGAATTTTTAAATTATCTCACTTTAATATTTGAATATAAATGAGCAAATAGCCTGGTTATTGTACTGGATAGAGCAGATTAAGTTCATTTTTAAAGCTTTCTAAAAAATCTGGGGCCCAACACAACAACCCAGTGGCTAAATCCTCGCCTTCCACACACCAGGATCATGTCCCAGCTGCTCCATTTCCCATCCAGCTCCCTGCTTGTGGCCTGAGAAGACAGCCGAGGACGGCCCAAAGTCTTGGGACCCTGCACCTGCATGGGAGACCTGGAAGAGGCTCCAGGCTCCAGGCTCCTGGCCCTAGATTTGTTCAGCTCTGGCCATTACAGCCACTTGGAAAGTGAATCATCGGATGGAAGATCTTCTCTTTTTCTCCTTCTTTCTGTAAATTTGCCTTTCCAATAAAAATAAATAAATCTTAAAAAAAAATCTGAATACTCAACACTTACACTAAATATCAGAAAAGTGAAATTTATGTTTTCACGTGAAAAACCTAATTAAAATGAAGTATCTTTTACTAGGAAATGAGCAGCACCTTGCACAAAACTGTTACACTCTATAGCTGGTAGCTTGAACACCTACAAGAAGAAGCATCTTAAAAAGTTAGTCATTAAGCACTAAAAATACTGTTAACCAAGACACTCCTAGATGACTTGAAAGCTTGGTTGTCTTCCTTCTACTTTCAATGTAATTTGTGCTTATTATCGATTTGGTACTTTTACCACTTGAAAAATTAGTTATCCCTAAACAGCAACAATATAATTACCTTTCACTTCTAAACTATGATAAAGTTTCAGAAGCAAAAAGGTTTAGCGCTTGTAAACAGACATATAACTAAATAAATGTAAGTAATAATTTCTTGTGATGAATTTGGTTAGCATATAGCTAAGATAAAACATGCTATATTTTGGAATTTAGTAATATGCAGACAAGCTTTAAAGAAGTGATTTTTATTTCCATAAGTGGCTGAATGATATATCAAAGATAGAAAAGGGGTAGATTTAAACATGTCAGTGGTGTTAAATGAACCAAGACTATTTTTTAATGTAATAAAAAGAAATATGAAGTCTTGCCCACAATTTCTATAAACCTGCAAGATGGTTTAGTAGCCAGCCGACTATTTAAAGCATAGGAAACAATTTAAGCAGACTACATACGGGCCAATGTGTCATTCATGAAATATGGTTGCTACTAAAGTATTTGCGTTCTTAATAAAGTACAGTATACAAATTGAAGGCAATAATCAGCTCTCCAGAATCTAGTCTGACCTGATCCCTTGTCACCAGAAGGTATGAGTAACACATCTTTTTGTTGTTGTTCTTAAATTTTAATTTTGAAATTTTTCAATTTTATGGTACAATTTCTCGTAGAGA